TCCTGGACCTGACTTGTCTCTCCCATTCTTCTCAGCAGTAATAATAAGAGTAGTAATATTAGTAATAATGATAGTAATAATAGTGGGATGCCTTTCTTGCAGGTGTGGAAGGCGGTGGGCTGGCGGCTGGTGGCGCTCTCCTTGGGCCTGTACGGGCTGCTGTACCTGTACGAGCGGCTGACCTGGAGCTCCCGGGCCAAGGAGCGGGCCTTCAAGCGCCAGTTCGTGGAGTACGCGGCCGAGAAGCTCCAACTCCTGGTCAGCTACACCGGCTCCAACTGCAGCCACCAAGTCCAGCAGTGAGTCCCGTCCCCCCCGTCCCCGTATCCGCGTGGAGGGTGAGAGGGAGGGGAGGGTGACGACGATGGCGGGCACGGCGTGATCCCCTCCCGACTTGTTTGCGCCTGCGCTTCTCCCCTTTGCAAGGGAGCTCTCGGGGACGTTTGCCCAGCTATGCCAGGAAGTGGACGCCACGCGGGAGGAGCTGCAGCAGGAAGTGGAAGCCCTGAGTCGCAAGGTCGAGCTCCTGGAGGCCCTGCAGGGCAAGGCCAAGCTCCTCAGGTACAGAGGCATTGCAACAACAACAACAGCCGGGCAAGGCCAAGCTCCAATAATAATAATAATAATAATAATAATAATAATAATAATAATAATAATAGGCATCTGGAAAAGCTGACACGATACGAGGATTTAAAGATCGAGCTGCAAAGACTCTGGCACAAGGGGGTCCCAGTGGTAATGGGCATACTGGGTGAAGTGCCTCAAGACCTTGGCCTGCACTTAAAGACAATCGGCACTGACCAAATTACGACCTGTCAGCTGCAAAAGGCCACCCTTTTGGGATCTGTACACATTATAATAATAATATAGAGCCATGGTTTTAAGAGAAGACAAGGGCCTTTGAATAATAATAATAATAATAATAATAATAATAATAATAATAATAATAATAATACAAATCATAATAGAATATAATTGCACTAAATAATAACATAGCGTCCTAGAGTTGGAAGAGGGCCATTCAACAACAACAACAACACAAGGGCCATTCAACAGCAACAATTATACTACAAACAATACAAAATAATGGTTAATACTATAATAATAATAATAATAATAATAATAAGCAACTGGAAAAGCTGACACAATACGGGGATTTAAAGATCGAGCTGCAAAGACTCCGACACAAGCCAGTCAAGGGGGTCCCAGTGGTGATGGGCACACTGGGTGCAGTGCCTCAAGACCTTGGCCTGCACTTAAAGACAATCGGCACTGACCAAATTACGACCTGTCAGCTGCAAAAGGCCACCCTTTTGGGATCTGCACATCACACATTATAATAATAATATAGAGCCATAGTTTTAAGAGAACACAAGGGCCTTTGAATAGTAATAATAATAATAATAATAATAATACAAATAATAATAGAAAATAATTGCACTAAATAATAACAACGTAGAGTCCTAGAGTTGGAAGAAGACACAAGGGCAATTCAATAACAACAACAATATACTGCAAACAATTCAAAATAATGGTTAATAACAATAATATTATTATATTACATATTTATTATAATTTATTATATTATAATTAGAATAATAATATAACAATAATAATATTATTGCGTACTGTTATTAGTACGCAATTAATATATATTATATAAATAATAGTAATATATAATTATTTTAAGAGAACACAACGTCCTTTGAATAATAACAATACAAATACTAATACAACATAATTGCACTAAATAATAATAACGTAGAGTCCTAGAGCTGGAAGAGGACACAAGGGCCATTCAACAACAACAACAATATACTGCAAACAGTACAAAATAATGGTTAATATTATAATTGTTATAATATTATATTATAATGTAATTATAATAATATAAAGCCATTGTTTTAAGAGAGCACAAGGGCCTTTGAATAATAATGATAATAATAATAATAATAATAATAATAATACAAATAATAATAGAACATGATTGCACTAAATAATAATAATGTAGAGTCCTAGAGCTGGAAAAGGACACAAGGGCCATTCAACAACAACAACAACAACAATATACTGCAAAAAATACAAAATAATGGTTAATAATAATATTATAATACTACATTATATTTATTATAATTTATTATACTATAATATATTTATTATAATATTATAATAGTAATATAGAGCCATGGTTTGTTTTAAAAGAGCACAAGTGGCTTTGAATAATAATAATAATAATAATAATAATACAAATGAAATCCAGCATATAGATCTCGTTTGCTGTAGTTTTGTGTCAGTGAAATACAAATGATAATAGGACATAATTGCACTAAATAATGGTTAATATAATAATTATAATATAATAATAATATATTTATTATAATATTATAGTAATTATAATAATGTGGAGCCATCATTTTAAGAGAGCACAAGGGCCTTTCAATAATAATAATAATAATAATAATAATAATAATAATAATAATAGTAATAATAATAATGAAACCCAGCATATAGATCTCGTTTGCTGTGGTTTTGTTTCAGTGAAATACAAATGAGAATAGAACATAATTTCACCAAATAATAATAATATAGAGTCCTAGCGTTGGAAGCGAACGTAAGGGCCATTCAATAATAATAATAATAATAATAATAATAATAATAATAATAATAATAAAAGTAATAGTACTAATAATAATGAAACCCAGCATATAGATCTCATTTGCTGTAGTTTTGTTTCAGTGAAATACAAATGATAGTAGGACATAATTGCACTAAATAATAATAATATAGAGTCCTAGCGTTGGAAGCGAACACAAGGGCCATTCAATAATAATAATAACAATAATAATAATAATAATAATAATAATAATAATGAAATCCAGCATATAGATCTCGTTTGCTGTGGTTTTGTTTCAGTGAAATCCAATTATAATAGGACATGATTGCACTAAATAATAATAATATAGAGTCCTAGTGTTGGAAGCGAACACAAGGGCCATTCAATAATAATAATAACAATAATAATAATAATGAAATCCAGCATATAGATCTCGTTTGCTGTGGTTTTGTTTCAGTGAAATCAAATTATAATAGGACATGATTGCACTAAATAATAATAATATAGAGTCCTAGCGTTGGAAGCGAACACAAGGGCCATTCAATAATAATAACAATAACAATAACAATAATAATAATAATAATAATAATAATGAAATCCAGCATATAGATCTCGTTTGCTGTGGTTTTGTTTCAGTGAAATACAAATGGTAATAGGACATAATTGCACTAAATAATAATAATATAGAGTCCTAGTGTTGGAAGCGAACACAAGGGCCATTCAATAATAATAATAATAATAATAATAATAATAATGAAATCCAGCATATAGATCTCGTTTGCTGTGGTTTTGTTTCAGTGAAATCAAATTATAATAGGACATGATTGCACTAAATAATAATAATATAGAGTCCTAGCGTTGGAAGCGAACACAAGGGCCATTCAATAATAATAATAACAATAATAATAATAATAATAATAATAATGAAATCCAGCATATAGATCTCGTTTGCTGTGGTTTTGTTTCAGTGAAATACAAATGGTAATAGGACATAATTGCACTAAATAATAATAATATAGAGTCCTAGTGTTGGAAGCGAACACAAGGGCCATTCAATAATAATAATAACAATAACAATAATAATAATAATAATGAAATCCAGCATATAGATCTCGTTTGTTGTGGTTTTGTTTCAGTGAAATACAAATTATAATAGGACATGATTGCACTAAATAATAATAATATAGAGTCCTAGCGTTGGAAGCGAACACAAGGGCCATTCAATAATAATAATAATAATAATAATAATAATAATGAAATCCAGCATATAGATCTCGTTTGTTGTGGTTTTGTTTCAGTGAAATCAAATTATAATAGGACATGATTGCACTAAATAATAATAATATAGAGTCCTAGCGTTGGAAGCGAACACAAGGGCCATTCAATAATAACAATAACAATAACAATAATAATAATAATAATAATAATAATGAAATCCAGCATATAGATCTCGTTTGCTGTGGTTTTGTTTCAGTGAAATACAAATGGTAATAGGACATAATTGCACTAAATAATAATAATATAGAGTCCTAGCGTTGGAAGCGAACACAAGGGCCATTCAATAATAATAACAATAACATAATAATAATAATAATAATAATGAAATCCAGCATATAGATCTCGTTTGCTGTGGTTTTGTTTCAGTGAAATACAAATGGTAATAGGACATAATTGCAGTAAATAATAATAATATAGAGTCCTAGCGTTGGAAGCGAACACAAGGGCCATTCAATAATAATAATAACAATAACAATAATAATAATAATAATAATAATAATGAAATCCAGCATATAGATCTCGTTTGCTGTGGTTTTGTTTCAGTGAAATACAAATGGTAATAGGACATAATTGCACTAAATAATAATAATATAGAGTCCTAGCGTTGGAAGCGAACACAAGGGCCATTCAATCCTAATCCTGGACTTCTTTTTGCAGAAACAAGGCCGGTTGGCTGGACAGCGAGCTGAACATGTTCACGCACCAGTACTTGGAGCAGAGCAGATAAGCCGAGGGGAGAGGAGGTCGAAGAGGATGGTGATGCGTGCGAGTACCTAAGAGGCGTCTTTGGGAAGGGTTTGTTTGCATGGCCCCCAATGGCTGCCGGGACCCTTCCCCTCCCTTGAACTGAAAACGATGCATTGAAAGGCCGGGATCGGGGGGCCCGTTCCTCCGAAATGAATTATCTGGGTGTCGATAATCTCACAATGAATGCGACGAATGGTAAATTGATTTTGCAGAAAGAGAAGTGAATCCTGCTCTTGCGAACGGAGATCCGTTTTTAAATTGTCGTCCCCAAAGCACTTTATTGATTTTCCACAAATATATTATATATAATTTCCGGGCTTTCTTTACAATCCGTAATGGTCTTTTCTATCCGCTGTTTGTGTATTTATGGTGGAGATGGGGTTCGCGCAAAAGGGTCTCCCGTTGAAAAAAAGCAACATTAAAGAGAGACAACAAACACAACTTGTTATCTTATTATCAACCCATTGGGTTTGAAGGCGTCATTGGGTGGACATCTTTGAGGAGGGATTGAATGGTCTATTTCCTGCCCGGCGGATTTATTTTACGCATATTTTAATGAATATTTTATTTATTTACGGCATTTATATGCCGCCCTTCTCACCCCAAAGGGGACTCAGAACGGCTTACAATATATATTTTCATACAATATATTATATTATTAGCATAGCACAATATCAGTATTATATATTACTATATTGTACTATACCATTATATTGTAATATTATTAGTAATATTACATGTAATGTAAATATATAATTATAATATTGAATTATTATTACTAGTATATTGTAATACTAGAATAATTTCTACAAATATTTTTGTGAATATTACTGTTATTAGTACGCAATTAATATATTATATATTATATATTATATAAATAATAGTAATATATTTTATAATATATATTTTTATATTTTATTTTTATATACGTTATTGCATTTTATTATTACTAATACAGTAAAAATATAACGCAGTAAAACAAATATAATGATATGCTTAAAATATAAATACAAAATATATTACTGTTAATATAATTAATAGATATAATAAAATATATTACTGTTAATATAGTTAATATATATATAATATAAATAGTAATACTGTATTTTTATGAGTAACATGTATCATGTATTATGTTTTATTGTATTAATACAATACAAATACAATAGTAATTATATTTTTATAATATATAATTTTTATATTTAATTTTTATATATTTTATATAAATATGCTTAATATAAAAATAGAATGCTTAAAACATAAATATGGAAATAAATATAAAATATACTATTACTGTTAATATAATTAATATAAAATATATTACTGTTAATATAGTTAATATATATAATATATATATAGTAATACTGTATTTTTATGAATAACATGTATCATGTATTATGTTTTATTGTATTAATACAAGTACAATAATAGTAATTATATTTTTACAATATATAATATAATTTTTATATTTAATTTTATTATATATTTTATTGCATTTTATATAAATATAAGGCTTAATATAATGAATATAATGCTTAAAACATAAATATGAAAATAAATATATAATATATTACTGTTAATATAATTAATATAAAATATATTAGTTAATAAAGTTTATATATAATATATATAGTAATACTGTATTTTATTATATTTAATTATTTGTCATATTTATTTAATTGCATTTGAATCATGTTTTATTGTATTAATAAATACAATACAAATACAATAAAAGCAATAAAATAAATATATTGAAGGGTTGCTTGAAACATAAATATAAGCAATTAAATATAATATAACATTACATTATATATGAATTGTTATATATTATTAATAGTGATATAATAATATATTTTATTATATTTAATAAAATATAATAAAATATTTATTACATTTAATAAAATATTTAATAAATATTTACGAATTATATCACAATAATATATAACAATTCATATATAATGTGATATATAGTGATATAATTATTAAATATTTTATTAAATGTAATAAATAATTTATTATATTTTATTAAATATAATAAAATATATTATTATTATATCACTATTAATAATATATAACAATTCATATATAATGTAATATTTAATTATATTTAATTGCTTATATTTAATTATATTTATAATTATAATGATAGTAACTTCAAGGCAAACTGGAAGCAAACACTTCTTTTGGATTTTGAGATACTTATATTTGCATTATAAATAGTAATATTGTATTTTTGCATTATACTTATATTTGCATTATAAATAATAATATTGTAACACACGTTTCCGGTTCCGTTTGGCGTAGCCAGATCCTCCCCTGCTGCTTCTTTACCTGTTTTGTGCCACCTTTCCTTTGTTGCGTTGTCGCAATGATGACCGCACCGGGAAGTCCGTAAACGGACCCGGGAAAACAACAACAACAATAATAATAATAGTCGTAACGCAAGATGAGATTGACACACTTTAATGAAGATTTCTGAAAACGAGTCCCACAACGTTTGGGGATGTAACGGCAGAGGAAAAGCGCGGAGTTGGAAGTCCCGCCCGCTTCCCTTAAATATATATATCGACATATTTACATATACACATCGGGGTGTGAATCGCACGCTGAAAATTGAGGACAAACGCAGAGACGAAGTGAGGTGAAAAAAGGCCCCGACTTCGAGAGCGTCAGAGAAAGGCTCCGGGCCTGTCTTCCGGGAGACCGCTCCCTAACCCTATGGGAGGCCCGCCATATTGATCCCCGCGTCCGGGAACCGTGTTCCCAAATAGCCCTCAAACCCCAAAGTCCTCAACTATCCACCCATGAAAAGCCCACACCTTTCACAAGTGCCATTTTCTTCCTCCTCCGTTTCCCCCGTTTTTTTTTTACGGGAAGAGGAGGAAGACGAGAAACGAGACGAGAAACGAGCCGTTCGAAGTGTCGGAAGAGACGAGGAAGGACCGGGACAAGGCACAACAACACCCTTCTCCATCCCTCCTTCTAAGGATCGATCTCCTGCGTTTTGACCGACTCCGGCGCCGTTATCTCGGAAAACCCAAGTCCTTCTGGAAAAGTCCGCTTGCCCCGAAATGGCCGACCCGTTTCCCCGATTCATCTTTGACGCTTCGACAACAGTGTTGTTTCCCCCCCAAAATACATTAGTGTCCGAGGAGACCGGTCCCTGGAAAGAAAGGGAGGCCCAGATTTTTGAGTACAGAATATTCGCATTTGATAAGAAGTGTTTGAAAAAAATTAGAGGTAAAATTGGTATATACATATATAAATATAATACAATTATACACACACAGCATTTGGATCATCCTCCTCCCCTAAAGGGCCTGGTCTAAGGGATGCTGGGAGCTGTAATCCGGAAGAGCGTGGATATGCTATTGTGCTTTTTTTTTTTTTGCTGAGGGAGTCGTTTTTGCGCATGCGCTGCAGTGATTTTTTTGGGGGGTTTTAAGTCCCTTCCGCTGTGTTTTTATGAGTGATGGTCACTCGTTGGCCTGATTGGTGTCTTGTGTCCAAATTTGGTGTCAATTCATCCAGTGGTTTTTGAGTTATGCTAATCCCACAAACTAACATTACATTTTATATATATAGATAATATAGTATTAGAGTTAGAAAAATCCATTATATTATACTAGCTTTACCCGCCACACATTGCTGTGGCCAACGTTCTCTCCCTCTTTCTCTCCTTCTTTCACTCCTTCCTTCATTTCCTCTTCTTCTTTCCTTTCTTCCTTCTCTGTTTACTTCCTTCCTTAGCTTTTTGCTCCCATCCTTCTCTTTATTTCTTTCCTTCCCTCCCTCTTTCTCTCCTTTCTCTTCTTCCTTTGCTCCGTCTTTCCTCCCTTCCCTTTTTTCTTTCCTTTTCTCCTCTTTCCTTCCTCCTCCCTTTTTAATTTCCTTCCTCTTTCTCTCCTTTCTCTTCCTTCCTTCACTCTTGACCAGACTTCCTTTTCTTTCTTTCTTTTCTTCCCTCCCTTTCTCTTCTTCCTTCGCTTTTTTCCTCTCTTCCCAAATTCTCCTTCCTTCCTTCCTTCCTTTTGACACCTTCCCTTCCCCTTCTTCTTTTTTTCTATCTTTCTTTCCTCCTTCCTTCCTTTCTCCCTTCTTTCCCATCCTCCTCTCTCTTTATTCTTTCTTTCCTACCTTTCCTCTTTCATATACCTTCTCAACTTCTCCTTCCTTCCTTCATACACCTTTCCTCCCTCCCTTCCTCTTCCTTCCTTCCTTCCTTTCTCCCTTCTTTCCCATCCTCCTTCTCTCCCTTTCTTCTTTCTTTCCTTCCTTTCTTCTTTCATATACCTTCTCAACTTCTCCTTCCTTCCTACACCTTCCCTTCCCCTTCCCACTTTTCTTCTTTCTTTCCTTCTTTCCTTGCTATTTACACCCCTCCCCTCATTTCCATCCTTCCTTCCTTCTCCCGCTTCCTTCCTTCCTTCCCCTTCCTCACTGATGGCGTGCAGCGGGGGCCTCCCGGGCAGCCTCCGCAGGTCGCGCAGCATCCTGGTCCCCAGCGAGCACAGAAAACGGAGGATTTGTAGACATGAAGCAATCTGGGCTAGGGAAGTCCTCCCACCAAAGGTTTCCTGCTGGCTAGTAGAAGCCAGGCTGTTAAGGTGCAAGGTGTTATGGGAAATAAAGTAATGAGAAGCAGCCACTGAACCCAAAACACTCCAAAAAGCTTCTTTGAAACAGAGGCTGGGTGGCCATCTGTTGGGGGTGCTTTGAATGTGATTTCCTGCTTCTTCACAGAATGGGGTTGGTCTGGATGACCCACCAAGTGTCTCCCAACTCTAGGGCTCTCTAATTCTATATTCTTCTCTTCCTTTCACCAGTTTCCCCCTTCCTTCCTTCCTTCCTTCCTTCCTTCCTTCCTTCGTTCCTTCCTTCCTTCCTTCCTTCCTTCCTTTGTTCTTTCCCTCCCTCTTCCCTTCCTTTCTGCTCCCATCCCTGCCTTTCCCGTCCTTCCTCTTCCTTTCCTTCTACCTTTCCTTCCATTCAAAATCTCCTCTTCTCTTCACCAGTCCTTTTCTTACTTTCTTCTCTCCTTTCCCTTTCTTTCCCCTCCTTCCTCTGGGACAGTTTGTAAGGGGTTTTGGGGGGGGGGGGAGAAAGGGGGGATTTGGAGCCCAAGTGGGAGAGTTGCTGGCCTTCTCATGGGGTGGTGGTGGTGTGCCTTGCAATCCTCTGGTTTTGGGGGAAGAGTTGCCTGGTAGCCACGTGGGCCTCAAGGAGTCTCTGCGGTGGCTCCAGCTGCTGCCAGGGCTTGCCTCGCCAAACCCCCACCTCTCCATTGAGCCAGGCCTTCTCCTTCCCTCTTTCCTCTCCTCAATCCCTCCCCTCCCCAAAAGAAAAAGGACTCTGCCTTCCTGCTTGGAAAGGGACTCTCTTCCCTCACGACGGTTGGTGCTTCATTCTTCTCGCTCGATGGGGAGAGGAGCTTTTGCGCATTCTTCTTTTTGGGGAGTTTTAACTTATTTCCCCTTCATTTTTTTGTTAGAAAGACATAGATCGGATTAGAATGTGTTTTGCTGCCAAATTTGGTGTCAATTTGTCCAGTGGTTTTTGAGTTCTGATAATCCCACAAACGAATATTAGATTTTTATTTATATAATAAATCCATGTGTATATGTGTGTGTGTATATAGAGAGAGAGTAAAAAGGAGCGAAGCCTACCTTTGAATCCTTCTTCAGGCATACAGACTGGAAGGGAAGGCAGACATGTCAGGAAAACCATCACAAATTGTGCATTTGGGAGGGGGGATTGTCATGGGATGCAGCCCCCCAAGGCCTTAATACATAGCTCCAGCCAGCAAAGAAAATTGTATCCCCCCCCCCCCGCCTCAATGAAGCTTCAGATCGGCCCGCTTACCTTGCATAACGTCATCGATCGCAGCGTAATCCACAATGGGCTCATCAGCCTGTTTCAGGGGAGAAAACAAGCYGGGTTATTGATTATTATTATTATTATTAGCTTCTGATATGCTAAATAATAATAATAATAATAATAATAATAATAATAATAATAATAATAATAATGGTTTGCTTCTGTTACAATAAATAATAACAATTATTATCATGGTTTGCTTCTGATAAATAATAATAATGGTTTGCTTCCCATACGATAAATAATAATTGTTTGCTTCTGATATGATAAATAATAATTATTTACTTGTCATACGATAAATAATTATTATGTTTTGCTTCTGATAGCTTAATAATAATAGTTTCTGATTAATAATAATAATAACAGTTTGCTTCTGATACGATTAATAATAATAATTGTTTGCTTCTGACATGATAAATAATAATCTAATATCAATATAATAAAAATTATTATGGTTTGCTTCTGATACAATAAATAATAATTGTTTCCTTCTGACATGATAAGTAATAATAATAATATAACAATAAAAATTGTTATGGTTTGCTTCTAACATGATAAATAATATAATAACAATATAATAAAAATTATTATGTTTTGCTTCTGATACGATAAATAATTGTTTGCTTCTGACATAAATAATATAATAACAATAATAAAAATTATTATGTTTTGCTTCTGATACGATAAATAATAATAGTTTGCTTCTGACATGATAAGTAATAATATAATAACAATAAAAATTATGCTTTGCTTCTGATACAATAAATAATGTTTTGCTTCTGACATAATAAATAATATAACAATAAAAATTATTATGCTTTGCTTCTGATACGATAAATAATAATAAATAATTGTTTGCTTCTGACATAAATAATATAATAACAATATAATAAAAATTATGTTTTGCTTCGTACACGATAAATATAATAAAATTATTATGCTTTGCTTCTGATACGATAAATAATAATAATAATAATAATAATAATAATAAATTGTATCAGAAGCAAACCATAATAATAATTATATTATGATACAATAAATAATAATAATAATAATAAATTGTATCAGAAGCAAACCATAATAATTATATTATTATTTATCATGCCAGAAGCTGCTATTATTATTATTATTATTATTATTATTATTATTATTATTATTATTATTATTATTATTATATAATCCCACTTGCAGCAATCCCCATGAGAATAATAAATATTATTGTTATTATTCTCATGGGGATTGCTATGAGAGGGATTTCAGAAGGCAGGTATCACTATTACTATTATTATTACTGTTATGGTCATTACCTTCAACAAGACCACGGACTCTGGGGTGACCCCAAGGCTGCCCAAGGAGGCCGAGTCGTCGGTGAGGACTTTGCCATCGATGGACAGGTTCTGGTCAAACGGGGCCACGGAGAAGGCGTGCATGATCTGCGCAGAGAGAGAGACACACACACACACACAGCCTTAGGGCTGAGGATGGAATGGGGCACCCCAAAGGCCACCTAGTCCCCCCCTTTTGGGAGACGCAATGGGAAAGGTCCGCCTTGCCTGGATCTTGAGGTCCTTGAGGGTCTGGTTTGCAGAGACCAGGAGGGCCTTCTCCCCGCGGACCTTGCGGTGACGGGCACTTCGCCGGACGCCCTGCTGCTTCGGGAAGGCCGGGGCCAAAGCCGGGGCCGTGGGGGTCAGCTTCGGCCGCTTGGCCGCATTGGCGGTGTTGCTACTGCTACTGTTGGCCTGTTGGAAGAGTCAGAAAATCAGTAATCTTGACCAAGCATCTCGATGCAAACCCTCGTCCCCATCTCCTTCTCCTTTCCTCCAATAATAATAATAATAATAATAATAATAATAATAATAATAATAATACAAAAACAAAGTAAAAATAAAATAAAATATTCAAATGTTATAAAATACAATAAAATAATATAACATAATAATATATATTTAAAATAATGTAAAATGATATGTAATAAAATAATAGAAAATAATATGCGATAAAAATGAAATGATAAAAATATAAATTCTAATGGAATAATGATATAATTATAAAATACAAAAATAAAATAGTATATTATTAATATAATATAAAATAATAATATATATTAAAATGTTATAAAAATATAACGATAAAATAATATAACATAATGTATATTTAAAATAACGTAAAACAATATATATATAGAAAATATATGATAAAAATATAAATGCTAATGAAATGATATAATATAATTATAAAATACAAAAATAAAATAGCATATTATTAATATATTAATAATGTAACAAAAATGATAAAATTAATATAACAATAAAATAATATAGTAAAATAATATATAAAATAATATAAAGAATTTGTAATATCACATAATTATATAGACAATAAAATACAAATATAAAATAGTATATTAATAATATATTAATATAACAACAAAAAGTAAAAATAATATAACAATTACAATATATCTAATAATATGAAATAATATATTAATAATATAACATCAATAAAACAATACAGATAATATAACAATAAAATAATATAAAATAGAACAATAAAATATTGATATAAAATAATATAAAATAAATAATATGAAATCACAAAAACAAGGATAGGATGATGAGGAGTGTGCAGGCACCTGGCTGAAGTCAGGGTCCCGCCCCGCTTCGGCCCGGAGCTCCTCCTCTTCTTCCTCTTCCTCTTCCTTCTCTTCCTCGGCTTCCGAACTGCTCACCGCCAGCTCTGGCGCCGCCTCCTTCATCACCTGGAAACACAAGGGAAAAGGTTGAAAAGAGACCCAAAGGGCAACGGGAGGCCTTCTTTGACTGCCTTCATCTCTGCCTGTATTTCCAACTCTTTGGTGCGTGAAGCCGAGCTTGTGTCTCCTTCGTGGGGTACTAATAATAATAATAATAATAATACTGACCTTCTTGCTGTCGACGACCTTGCGGACGTAGATGGTGGCCTGGGCGTATTCCCGCAGGTCCCGCTGCTGCTGGCACAGGAGCCCCTCCCGGCAGTCCAGGCACAGCTCTGCAAAGGGCACACGAGGGAGGGAGGCAAGGAGGGAGTCCCCGCCTGGGCCTTGTGTGTGTGTGTGGGGGGGGGACACCCTGCCCGACCGCAGCCCCCAAAAAGCACTCACCGGGTTCGGTGATGAAGAGCGGAGACGAGGGGGACCCTTCTGCCCCCTGGGCCGCGTCCCCCTCCCCCTCCTCCTGGGGAGCCGGCCGCCGTCGCAGCACCCGGATGGCCTGGTCCACCACAAAGAGGGTCCGGATCCGCTCCCATTCGGAGGGCCAGAGCAGAGCTACACTGTGCGGAGGAGGGAGAGGTCAGCAGGGGGGAAAGACAAGGGGCCTGAGGGATGGGCTGGATGGCCTTTGGGGCTCCCTCCCACCACTAGGATTCAATTATTCTATCTGTCAGATGGACTGGATGGCCTTTGGGGATCCCCAACAACTCTAGCTTTCTATTGATCTAACTGTCCTCTACCTACCTACCTAAGGGATGGACTGGATGGCCTTTGGAGGTCTCTCCCACCTCTAAGATTCTATCCATCCATCCAGCCTTTGGGAGTCCCTCCTATCTATCTATCTATCTATCTATCTATCTATCTATCTATCCATCCATCCATCCATCCATCCATCCATCCACTTATTCATCCATCTATCCATCCATCCACCCATTTATCCTTTTATCCATTCATCCTTCTATCCATCCATCCATCCAGCCTTTGGGAGTCCCATCTATCCATCCATCCATTTATCTACCCTCCCATCCACCTATTCATCCTTCTATCCATCCATCCACTATTCTTTTATCCATCCATCCACCTATTCATCCTTCTATCCATCCATCCTGTCTTTGGGAGTCCCTCCTACCTACCTACCTACCTACCTATCTATCCATCCATCCATCTATCCATCCATCTACTTATTCATCCTTCTATCCATCCATGTATCTGTCCATCCATCCATCTACTTATTCATCCTTCTATCCGTCCATGTATCTGTCCATCCATCCATCTACTTATTCATCCTTCTATCCATCCATGTATCTGTCCATCCATCCATCTACTTATTCATCCTTCTATCCATCCATGTATCTGTCCATCCATCCATCTACTTATTCATCCTTCTATCCGTCCATGTATCTGTCCATCCATCCATCTACTTATTCATCCTTCTATCCGTCCATGTATCTGTCCATCCATCCATCTACTTATTCATCCTTCTATCCGTCCATGTATCTGTCCATCCATCCATCTACTTATTCATCCTTCTATCCGTCCATGTATCTGTCCATCCATCCATCTACTTATTCATCCTTCTATCCATCCATGTATCTGTCCATCCATCCATCTACTTATTCATCCTTCTATCCAACCATGTATCTGTCCATCCATCCATCTACTTATTCATCCTTCTATCCATCCATCCATCTACTTATTCATCCTTCTATCTGTCCATGTATCTGTCCATCCATCCATCTACTTATTCATCCTTCTATCCATCCATCCATCTACTTATTCATCCTTCTATCCGTCCATGTATCTGTCCATCCATCCATCTACTTATTCATCCTTCTGTCCATCCATGTATCTGTCCATCCATCCATCTACTTATTCATCCTTCTATCCATCCATGTATCTGTCCATCCATCCATCCATCCATCCATCCAGCCTTTGGGAGTACCATCTATCTATCCATCCATCCACTTATTCATCCTTTTATCCATCCATCCACTTATTCATCCTTTTATCCATCCATCCACCTATTCATCCTTCTATCCATCCATCCTGTCTTTGGGAGTCCCTCCTACCTACCTACCTACCTACCTATCTATCCATCCATCCATCTATTCATCGTTCCATCCATCTACTTATTCATCCTTCTACCCATCCATCCATCCATGTATCTGTCCATCTATCCATCCAGCCAGCCAGCCTTTGGGAGTCCCATCTATCCATCCACCCATCCACCTATTCATCCTTCTATCCATCCATTCATCCATCCATCCATCCTGTCTTTGGGAGTCCCTCCTATCCATCCACCTTCTATCCATCCATCATCCATCCTGCCTTTGGGAGTCCCTCCTATCCATCCACCTTCTATCCATCCATCATCCATCCTGCCTTTGGGAGTCCCTCCTATCTATCTATCTATCTATCTATCTATCTATCTATCTATCCATCCTATCTATCTTCTATCTATCTATCCATCCATCCATCCATCCATCCATCCATCCATCCATCCATCCATCCTGCCTTTGGGAGTCCCTCCTATCTATCTATCTATCTATCTATCTATCTATCTATCTATCTATCTATCTATCCATCCATCCATCCATCCATCCATCCATCCATCTGTCTACTCCTATCTATCTATCTATCTATCTATCTATCTATCTATCTATCTATCTATCTACACATCCATCCATCCATCCATCCATCCATCCATCCAAGGGATGAACTGGATGGCCTTTGGGGTTCCCTCCCAACTCTGCCTGCCTTGAGGGGTTGGTCTGGATGGCCTTTGGGGGGCCCCGTTCCTGGGGCGGAGGGCTGGGGCTGGGGTGACTCACAGCTTAGAGTCCTCCCTGGCCATGGAGGCGAAGGTGAACATGAGCCCCCCGTGCGGACAGAGCAGCTCCCGGTTCCCCACCGAAGAGACCGGGCGGCAGCGGGTGGGGCGCCTGGGAGGGAAGGAAGGAAGGTAAGACTGAGTAAACATTGTCATCATCGTCATGTTAATTATAATTTAGATAGCTGATGAATAATAAAAATAGTAAATATAATAATATTAAAACAGATAAAAAGATGGTTGAGGAATTATAATAAATTATTATTATTATTATTATTATTATTATTATTATTATTATTATTATACAAGGGCATAGAGGAGCCGAAAATGGGTTTGGCTGCTGGGGAAGAGCCATACAACAACAACAACATCATCAAGCCAGGGGCTGCTGTGGTTTCATTTACATGAATTAGTAATAATATATAATATAGTAATAATAATAATAATAATAATAATAATAATGTAATTCAACGGCGTAGAGGAGCCAAGAATGGGTCTGGCTGCTGGGGAAGAGCCATACAACAACAACAACAACAACAAGCCAGGGGCTGCTCTGGTTTCAGCTACATGAATTAGTCATATAGTAATAATAATAATAAAAGTAATTCAATGGCGTAGAGGAGCCGAGAATGGGTCTGGCTGCTGGGGAAGAGCCATACAACAACAACAACAACAACAACAACAACAACAACAAGCCAGGGGCTGCTCTGGTTTCAGCTACATGAATTAGTCATATAGTAATAATAATAATAAAAGTAATTCAATGGCGTAGAGGAGCCGAGAATGGGTCTGGCTGCTGGGGAAGAGCCATACAACAACAACAACAACAAGCCAGGGGCTGCTGTGGTTTCAGCTACATGAATTAGTAATAATATACAATATAGTAATAATAATAATAATATAACTAATTCAACAGCTGGTTTCAGCTACATGAATTAGTAATATAGTAATAATAATAATATAAGTAATTCAATGGCGTAGAGGAGCCGAAAATGGGGCTGGCTGCTGGGGAAGAGCCATACAACAACAACAACAACAACATCAAGCCAGGGGCTGCTGTGGTTTCAGCTACATGAATTAGTAATATAGTAATAATAATAATATAAGTAATTCAATGGCGTAGAGGAGCCGAAAATGGGGCTGGCTGCTGGGGAAGAGCCATACTACAACAACAACAACAACAACAACAACAACAACAAGCCAGGAACTGCTGTGGTTTCATTTACATGAATTAGTAATATAGTAATAATAATAATAAAAGTAATTCAATGGCGTAGAGGAGCCAAGAATGGGGCTGCCTGCTGGGAAAGAGCCATACAACAACAACAACAACATCAAGCCAGGGGCCGCTGTGGTTTCAGCTACATGAAATAATAATAATAATAATAATAATAATAATAATAATATAGTAATTCAACGGTGTACAGCACCCCCCCACAGCTGCATGCATGCGCTGTGATGGCTTCTCCTTTTATTAAGGATTTGTATATTTGTTTTTTATTATTATTGTTGTTGGTCACACCTTGTATGGTGAGGAGTTTTGTTGCAAATTTGGTGGGTATTGGCCCAGCAGTTCTTTTGTTTTTAAGCCACTAATTACGACATGAAGCATTTTATATATACAGATAGTAATAATAGTAATATAATATAGTAATTCAACATGAATTAGTAATAATATAGTAATAATAATATAGTAATAATAATATATACCTCAGGAGCTGCTGCAATTTCATTATTATTATTACTATTATTATTATTATTATTATTATTATTGTGACGACCCTTCACGGGCAGAGGCAGCTCACCTGACGAACTTCCTCCATTCCTCGACGAAGAGCCTCGGGACGACGTAGAGCTCTCCTCCTTCCTGCAAACACAGAAGGCTTTGTTGGGGGGTGCCTTCCTGGAGCCCCGATTCCTCAAAGGCTGTGGTCCTCACCCTGTGGGTCCCCAGATGTTTTGGCCTTCAACTCCCAGAAATCCTGGTAATGTGGCTAGGATTTCTGGGAGTGGTAGGCCAAAACACCTGGGGAGCCACAGGTTGAGGACCACCGCTCCAAGGGAACAGGAGGGAAGTCCTACCTGGGGCCAGGTGCTGAGGACGGGCCGGTTCTTGTCCTGGAAGAGGTTGGAGAGGCAGGCCTTCTGCTCGCCCGCCATCATCTTGTGCAGCGCCTCGTTCTCCGCCCCTTCCCGCTCCAGGAGCTGCATCACAAGGGCAGAGACATATACACATCATCATTACTAATCCAAGGCTGGATGGCCATCTTTTGGGAGGGCTTTGATGGTGTCTTCCTGTTTGGTTGAACTTGGATGACCCTTGGGATCTCTTTCAACTCTTTGATTCAATTATCACCATGATCATATTGCTGTGATTTTTCCTGGCTGTCCGGCCATGTTCTAGAAGCATTCCCTCCTGACGTTTCGCCCACATCTATGGCAGGCATCCTCAGAAGTTGTGAGGCCTGAGGTCTGGTTCATTTTCAGGTTTTCATCCTTTCTGTTGAAATTGTTCACCAGAAAAGTCAGCCACAGCAGAGCACCTGAGAGAATGACTCTTTTAAGCTAGGAAAATGTTTACAAAGTTCCTTACGTTAAGAACAAAGTCAACACAAGGCTCCTTACGTTTACCAATACCAATTAAGGAAAGTCAACATCTGCCCAGAACTGAGATGAAGCCAGGATGTTTCAGGCTGTTTATGCTATCAGAAATAATGACTCTTTTAGTTAAGGAAATGTTTACAAGGTTCCTTACGCTAAGAAGGACATCAACACAAGGCTTCTTATGTTTACCAAGACCAATTAAGGAGAGTCAACATCTGCCCAGAACTGAGATGAAGCCAGGAACTGAGATGAAGCCAGGATGTTTCAGCCTGTTTACACTATCAGAGACAATGGCTCTTTTAGTTAAGCAAATGTTTACAAGGTTCCTTACGTTAAGAAGGAAGTCAACAGAAGGCTCCTTATATTTACCAAGACCAATTAAGAAAGTCAACACAAGGTTCCTTACGTTTACCAACACCAATTAAGGAGAGTCACATCTGTCAGGAACTGAGACGAAGTCAGGATGTTTCAGGCTGTTTACGCTATCAGAGATAACGACTCTTTAAGTTAAGGAAATGTTTACAAGGTTCCTTACGTTAAGAAGGAAGTCAACAGAAGGCTCCTTACGTTTACCAACACCAATTAAGGAGAGTCACATCTGCCAGGAACTGAGATGAAGCCAGGATGTGTCAGGCTGTTTACACTATCAGAGACAATGACTCTTTAAGTTAAGGAAATGTTTACAAGGTTCCTTACGCTAAGAAGGAAATCAACACAAGGCTCCTTACGTTTACCAACACCAATTAAGGAGAGTCAACATCTGCCCGGAAACTGTGAGGAAGCCAGGATGTTTCAGGCCGTTTACACTATCAGAGACAATGATTCTTTAAGTTAAGGAAATGTTTTACAAGGTTCCTTACGTTAAGTAGGAAGTCAACGCAAGGCTCCTTAAGTTTACCAACCCCAATTAAAGAGAGTCAACATCTGGCCGGAACTGAGATGAAGCCAGGATGTTTCAGGCTGTCTCCGCTATCAGAGATAATGACTCTTTTAGTTTAGGAAATGTTTACAAGGTTCCTTACATTAAGTAGGAAGTCAACGCAAGGCTCCTTAAGTTTACCAACACCAATTAAGGAAAGACTTAAGAATTAGCTTTCCTTGTTCACAGACTGAACGCAGCACCCCAAGAGGCTCACCTTGCACTGGGAGCAGGGCTCCCTGCTGCTGGGGAACTCCGGGGCGCTTGGGAAATAGCGCTGCAGCGTCTCCCAGGCTTCCCGCGAGACGACCCTCCGCTCGCCTTCCGAGGTGCAGAGGTTGCCTGCCGGGAAGAGAGCGAGAGATGCTTGGCACGCTCCGCAAAACAGAGGAAGGGGACCGCCAAGAGGGGCCACAAAGGCTGACCGTGAGGGCAGACGATGTCCTCGTTGAACCGCAGCCCCTCTTCCTCCCGCTTCTCCACGTCGCCTTCATCTGGAGAGAGAGAAAGAGAGGACACATCTCAGGTGGCGGAGGGAGAGAGAAGTCCATTTGGGAGCGACAGCAAAGGGACGGGGAGAAGATGACCTCCTCCCCGAGGGTAGAGTCAGAGGCTTCGGGGGTTACAGGCCACCCTCGAGTTACAAACACCCAACTTACAAACAACCCACAGGTAAGAACGGTGCTGAGACAACAGGAAGTAAAAGGAATCTCCCCCTCAGGAGGGAAATTCAATTGGTAACATACATACATACATCAACTTTGATTATCCAGGCCGTCCCCAAGTTACAAACATCCGACTCATAGTTAAGAACGGAGCCAAGACAACAGGAGGTGAAAGGAATCTCCCCCTCAGAAGGGAAATTCACTCCTGGAAGAGTTATTATCATGGGGAAAACTATGGATATGTATATATCCATATCTACATCTATATATATAAAAATGAAAAGGGCGTCCAACGGGACAGCAAAACTCAAAAACCCCCCGACGAAAATTTACCAAAATTCCCATGCACATACCTCAACCCACAAGGTATGCACAAATCGATTCAAAATATTAAACAACAATAAAACACACTCACAATTAGACAAAACAACTGAGCATGCGCAATGGCGCCCCGCAAGTCCCCGGCACATGCACATGGCCGGCCGTCCAACACACCCTCCGCGCAAGCCACGCCCCTATCCTCCATCGCCCCGACCCATACGATCACACCACACCATGCCCCCTCCCTCCCCCGCCCCGCCCCACACGTTCACACCACGCCCCCTCCCTCCCCCGCCCTGCACGATCACGGAAGGAAGAGAGAAGAAAGGAGGAAGTGAGGCCAGGCAGAGATGAGAGAAAGAGGGAACGCAAGAAAGAGAGAAGGAGGGAAGGAGAGAGACAGGGAGGAGAGAAAGGGGGAACGCGAGAGAGAGAAAGAGAAAGGGGAAAGGAGGGAGTGTGTGAGAGAAGGAAGGAAGAGAGAAGAAATGAGGGAGTGAGGCCAGGCATAGACGAGAGAAAGAAGGAACGCGAGAAAGAGAGAAGGAGGGAGAGAGAGGGAGAAGAAAGGGGGAATGCGAGAGAGAAGATAGAAGAGGGAAAGGAGGGAGTGGAGGGAGAAGAGGATGGAGGAAAGAGAGAAGGGGAGGAAGGAGGACGCGAGAGAGAGAGAAAGAGGAGAAAGGAAAGAGTGTGTGAGAGAGAAAGAGGGAAAGAGAGCGAGGAAGGAAGAGAGAAAAAGAGAGGCCAGGCAGAGACGAGAGAAAGGAAGGGAGAAAAGAAGGAAGGAAGGAAGAACAGGGAGGAGAAAGGGAAGCGAGAGAAAGAATAGAGGGGCGTATGAGCCAGAAAAAAGGAAGGAAGAGAGGAGAAAGGAGGAAGTGAGGCCAGGCAGAGACGAGAGAAAGAGGAACGCGAGAAAGAGAGAAGGAGGGAAGGAGAGAGGGAGAGGGAGGAGAGAAAGGGGGAACGCGAGAGAGAGATAGAAAGAGGGGAAAGGAGGGAGTGTGTGAGAGAGTGAGAAAGAGGGAGGGAGAGAAAGAGAAGGATGGAGTGGAAGAGAGAAGGGGGAAGAAGGAGAAGGGGAGAAGGAGAGAGAGAGGAGAAGGAGAGTGAGAGAGAAAGAAGGAAGAAGGAGAAAAGGAGGAAGAGAGAAGGAGGAGAGAAGGAGGAGAGGGAGAAGAGAAGAGAAAGAGAGGGAGGAAAGGGGGAACGTGAGAGAGAGAGAGAGAGAGAGAAAGAGGGGAAAGGAGGGAGTGTGTGAGAGAGAAAGAGGGAAAGGATGAAACCAAAGAGTGAAATAAGGAATGAAAGAAAGAGGTAGAGAAGGAAGAAAGGCGAGAAAGGGGAAGGGGAAGAAAAAGAGGGGAAGGAATAGGTAGGTACCTCTCTTTTATAATAGTCCAGGTATCTACCTCTACTTCGAAATTCTTACTATAGGCCACAGCAACGCGTGGCAGGGTGCAGCTAGTACTCTATATTTTCTATCTATCTCACTTGGGAGCTGCCTGTTTCTATAAAGGCTTGCTGATACTCTCTGGAGAAAAAGGAGTCTGAAAGAGATAGCTCTTTGGCTGATTTTCCCATTGGTATCGTAGCTTAGTCCCTTCACAATATGTGGGAGCATGGAGGTGCCGAGCCTCTATAGTGCACGGAGTGATGGGACGGTACCTTTGCCCTCGGCTTCTCCGTTCACCTTGCCGTTGCTGCGGGCCTGGCTTTCCTGCGGGGCCTCCATCTGCTCCAGGGCCAGTTGCCGCCAGCTCCGCAGGGAAGGCTTTCCCACCCAGAAGCCCTCGTCCCTGTGGGGAAGGAAAACCGTCCCTCAGCTCGGGGTCTCCCTCGCTGCTCTTTCCCATTCCCTTCCATAATACGCCCCTTACTTACTCCTTGGGATTGGCTTTGAGCAGATTGGAGACAGCCTTGTGGTCCTCGTTGAGCTGGTTCTTCAGCCGCAGGATCCGGCAACGCTCCACCACACACTCCCGGCAGAGGGCCTTCTCTGCGGGAAGAGAGGGAAGCGAGTTGGGAGGGACCCCCAAAGGCCATCCAGTTCAACCCTTTTCTGCCAAAGCACACCTGACGGACGGCCATCCAGCCTCTGCTTGAAAGCCTCCAAAGGAGGAGGTTCCACTAAACTCCGAGGCAGAGAGCTCCACTGCTGAACAGCTCTTCTTACAGTCAGGAAATTGTGTTGTTGAAGTTTTTCAGGGCCGGAATCAGGTTGAACCTGACTCAGCACAGAGAGAAGATGGTTTTGAAAGAGCTGTCAGCAGCTTATGACACTGTAAATCATTGCCTTCCCCTGAGAAAAACTTATAATATCACAAAGGACAACCACCTCATCCACTTCATAGGAAATCTGCTACAAAACAGGAGCTTTTTTGTTGAGTTCCAGGGCCAGAGAAGCAGATGGCGCAAACAGAAGAACGTGCTTTCCATCAATGTTTAACATTTACACAAATGACCAGCCACTGCCAGAAGGGACAGAGAGTTTCATCTATGCTGACGATCGTGCCATCACCGCTCAAGCAGGGAGCTTTGAAATGGTTGAACAGAAGCTCTCTGAAGCTTTAGGTGCTCTTACTGCCCATTACAGGGGAAACCAGTTTGCTCCATCACTGTTTAACATCTACACAAATGACCAGCCACTGCCAGAAGGGACAGAGAGTTTCATCTATGCTGACGATCGTGCCATCACCGCCCAAGCAGGGAGCTTTGAAATAGTTGAACAGAAGTTCCCCGAAGCTTTAGGTGCTCTGACTGTCTATTGCAGGGGAAACCAACTTGCTCCATCAGTGTTTAACATTTACACAAATGACCAGACACTGCCAGAAGGAACAGAAAGTTTCATCTATGCTGACAATCCTGCCATCACCGCCCAAGCAGGGAGCTTTGAAATGGTTAAGCAGAAGCTCTCCGAAGCTTTAGGTACCGTGACTGCCTACAGGGAAAACCAGCTTTCCTAATGTTTAACATTCACACAAATGACCAGCCACTGCCAGAAGGGACAGAAGAGTTTCATCTATTCTGACGATCCTGCCATCACGCCAAGCAGGGAGCTTTGAAATGGTTGAACAGAAGCTCTCTGAAGCTTTAGGTGCTCTTCCTAACTGTTACGGGGAAAACCAACTTGCTCCATCACTGTTTAATATTTACACAAATGACCAGCCACTGCCAGAAGGGACAGAGAATTTCATCTATGCTGACGATCCTGCCATTACTGCCCAAGCAGGGAGCTTTGAAATGGTTAAGCAGAAGCTCTCCGAAGCTTTAGATGCTCTTACTGCCTATTACAGGGGAAAACCAGCTTCCTCCATCACTGTTTAACATCTACACAAATGACCAAGCCACTGCCAGAAGGGACAGAGAGTTTCATCTATGCTGACGATCATGCCATCACCGCCCAAGCAGGGAGCTTTGAAATGGTTGAACAGAAGCTCTCCGAAGCTTTAGGTGCTCTTACTGTCTATTAAGGGAAAACCAGCTTCCTCCATCAATGTTTAACACTGACACAAATAATAAGTTTAATCTATGCTGATGATTGTGCCATCACCTCCCAAGCAGGGAGCTTTGAAATGGTGGAACAGAAGCTCTTACTGTCTATTACAGGGGAAACCAGTTTACTCCATCACTGTTTAACATTTACACAAATGACCAGACACTGCCAGAAGGAACAGAAAGTTTCATCTATGCTGATGATCATGCCACCACCGCTCCCATGAACACAAGGGAGTTTTGCAATGGTTGGCCCAGGACTAAGGGGTGAAAGCACTACAATGATGACCACTTCCTTCCTTCCTTCACTGACCAGTCAGCCGAGGCCCGCCCCCGTAGCGCTGGTAGAAGTAGTCAGCCACAGTGGCGGAAACCCTCTTGACGGCGGGGACCTTGTCCGGGTGCAGCTTCCCGTGGGGACACAAGCAGGGCTGGTTGTCGACGGGCTTCGGGGCGGCCGCCTCGTCCAGCCACTGCTGCAGCCACTCCAGGGACACAAAGTCGTAAGAGTCGCCTGAGGAGGAAGAAGAGGCCGAGAAGGAGCGTCAGGACCTCGCACGGGCCCCACGTCCCGGAGTCGGATCCGCTTCCTTCCTTTTTAGGACCCAATGTTTTATTAAAACAGATTGACACAAAACCTACGTGCAAACCTAAAACAAAAAGACAACGTTGACAACAACACAAGATCGAAAATAGAGGTTCTGTAGGTTTGTTCTGATTTAGGTAAATTCGGATGTAAGTCGGGGAAGGTCCTGACTTGTCCAAAATAAATAATAATAATAACAAAATAAATAATAATAATAATAATAATGATACAATGTATTGCTTTCTAGATTTGACTTGTGTCTCTCATTCCCTCAATGCCCAACTATGGAATAATAATAATAGTAATAGC